ACCAGTTCAACGCAGATTCGGAATAAGAACCTTCTTGCTTTCAATCTCGCTTATTTTCGTTTTAATTCTAAGTGTTTTCGTCATCTTATTTTCGTTGTGCGGTTCTCGCAGATAGCCGGTTCCTCTGGAAACTTAGGGTTTTCCCGAAGTTTCCTTATTTACGATTTATTTGACAGTAGGGTGAAATCGACTCCCACATTGACATTGTTCTCTGCCCTGGAAAGAAATGGATGGAAGACATCCACACCATCTACACGCCTATGCTCTGGAACAAGTCTCACTGGGTTGAGTTAGCAATCAACCTCGACATGGGATTGGTTGAAATACTTGATCCTCTCCCAGCTTTGAATGGAGTACGTCGCATGGCTAAGTGGATGAAACCCGTCCTAGCTTGCCTCCCTTACCTTGTTAAGAAAGTTGCCATGTGTGAGCTAACACAATTCACTGGTGTGAAGCCTTTTATCTGCACCCGTATTCCAGATATCTACATAAACGGCCGATCCGGTGATTGCGGACCTGTTACCTTGAAATTCCTTGAGTTACACGCACATGGTTATCCATCCCCTGGAATGGCCGGAATCACAGACAAAATTGTCGATGACATACGCAAGCAGTATGCAATGGACATCTACAAGACCTTGGTGCTGCCTGCGTACTATGCTGCCCGCTCCACTGATGATTAGCAGCTCCTATCACTGTCTCCTTCAAACAATTTCTGTGTAATGTAGTTGTAGCGTTAGACTACTTTTGTTGAAATGCTTTTGAAACTCTGCCAAAACATAAACCTATCCTAATTTCAAAGTTTAAGACTTCTTAATGTCTTAAAACTACGCAGGTTTGTTACTGTGCTTACAAGTAATGCTTTTAGTACCCGAACACTTAATGGCTGATGACACAAATACAACATGCCCATGTCCTACAACACATCTAAATACATCATTTATGTCCACATCCACAATTTTACATAGCTTCCATATCATAAAAAGCCATCTTCAGATATTTAAGTAACGACGGACCTCATTGTAAAATTCAATTTCATTTACATTCTTCACCAACTAAATCCCTAAAACTCTCCCAAATAGAAACCTAATTCGCAGCCTTCCATCTTCGAATTAACTGTATTCGTCATGAGCTCCTCATCTTCCTCTTCACTGTCACATACCTTTTCTGGTAGACACACATATGGAATACCCACTAGTTGTTGGTGTGGAGCTAATTTGACTACATTTGGTGCTAAAACCAAGGAGAATCTCTTCCGCAGGTTCTATCGATGCGAGATTTGGCTCCAGGTTTGTTTAATCCCAACTATCTTCTTCCTCTCAATTTCACATCTTTTGTTAGTAATTTATAATCCTCCTACTCATTACCAGAGAAAATCGGAGCACCACTTGTTCAAGTGGGTCGACGAGGCCATTGTAGACGAGATCCACATGGTTGATGCTAAACACACCAAACTAAAGGCAGATCTCGACTCTTTCAAGCTCTCCACAACAAGAAATTTGGAACAACATGCAAAACAAATCGACGAAACCCTACACCAGATCAAGATTCTTCTGGATTCCAAGACTAACAGCTGTGGCAGTAAGGACAACGATACTATTGCGTCCCCACCGATGTCCTCTTCTGTCAATTCATTGACCAACATCGCCGTGGCAGCCATTGCAGTTGGAACTATGATCTGGATTTACACTAGGATCAACTAGAAGTTTAACTTGGATGTCCCAATGTCTAATTTTCGGAATATCCTTTTTTATCTTCTTCTTCTATGTTTTCTTTTGCAACTAATGCATTTGTTTCAGAACTACTGTTGGTTGAAATGCACTACATTATATATATGCAAAAATGTTTGGTTCATATTTATGTTGTTCATATTTCATGTTTCAAGGCTACTAATCTTGATGCACTTGTTCTATTTCATGTCATTCATCAACTTGTATTCTAAAGTCCAACTACATGTCACTATGGACATTTTTAAAAAATTAGTAACTATTACAAAATTTACTGTCCACATACATATTATCAATCTTTTACTTAAATTTCTTCAGAATTTCAACATCATGCTCCACAATATTGTTTCCAAATAGAGTCACCAACAAAAGATTGTTCGATCTCCACAATATTGTTTCCAAATAGTAAAATCATGAACAACAATCACATTAATTGTTTGCTCTCCACAAATATTTTTTCAAAATACTAACACCAACAACAACAATCACAAAATCAGTCTCCCCACAAATACGTCCCTCAAACCAACAAAATATTGTTTGCTCTCCATAAATATTGTTTCAAAAGAGTAACATCAACATCAACATCAACATCAACAATAACATAATCAGCCTGCAAAAACATCACCAGTCCTCTTTGCTGCCAAAACCTACTCCTTCCACAAATACGTCCCTCAAACCAACAAAATATTGTTTGCTCTCCATAAATATTGTTTCAAAAGAGTAACATCAACATCAACAATAACATAATCAGCCTGCAAAAACATCACCAATCCTCTTTGCTGCCAAAACCTACTCCTTCCACATCAAGCTTAGATGGGACACACGCAATTGGTGCGATTGTGTCCAACTCCCCTGCACCTACCACATTTGTTCAGATTCACCTTCTTCTTCGGTACCTAAAACCATACAAACAAACCATCTTTCTCAGAAAAAATTCCATTTTCAAAAATTGATTTATACAACAAATCCTCTCACCTTTATCTCTCCCGTGGATGGTATGCGTGTCTTCCGACGACGTCCAGGCTGCCTTTTGGTGATGGGAGGGTATAGAACCTTCTTGCTTACATCCTCAGGTATGTCCACATCCCTTGGGTCTTCATCTGGATTGATCACACCTGCATATGTCTCCCTCCACACAGATGTCTTATACCAATGACCGCACAATGTATCAGTAGACACTCCAAGACTGTTAGCCGCAAGTATAGCATGTCCACAAGGTATTTTGATATTATCAAAATACTTACAACTACACTTCCTCTCAGCTAGCATTACCTTGTCAGACCTACCAAATTTTCCCAATACTTGACAAGTCCACTCATTGACAGAATTTATGTAACTGCCTTTAACAGTCGCCATATTTTTGGTCATCTCTTTGTCCACCTCTATACTAACAGCCCCACTGTGTTTCACCGCCTTCCTCCTACGCGCACAAAACCACCTAGTCATCATTCTCTGAATGAACTTTACCAACTCCAGAATGTTTGCTCCCCTCCCTTCCAAGAGCGCTTTATTCAGCTGCTCAGCAATATTACTTGTCATTATATTGAATCTCTCACCAGGGAAATTAGCTCTTGACCAACGACCTGTACCAATTTTAGCCAAATACACCCCACAAGCAGCGTTGGTCGCCCTTACTTTCCCATAAAGTTCCTTGTACTCACGTGGTACGTGAGCCATGGCCGTCTTTGTCACCAACTCTGCTAGGTGCTTACTTGAAAACTTAGAATTTACATTCCTCGCCAAATGTACTATACAAGCTCCATGCTTGGCTTGAGGATAAATCTTACTCACAGCATTGGCAATACACACAGCCCTATCAGAAATTATGGCAAGAGATGGGGAATCGCTTAAAATTCTCTCTACTTTTTGCAAAAACCATGTCCATGCATCCTCGTCCTCAGCGTCCACAACTGCAAATGCAAGGGGGAAAATCTGGAAATTAGCATCCTGCCCACTAGCTGTCAAGAGAACTCCTTTGTACTTCCCGCTAAGATGGGTACCATCTATCACCAACACATGCCTCAGCTTTCTAAATCCACAAATTGATGCCCCAAAGGCAAGGAACAAGTAAAGGAAACGTTCATCTCCATCGTCGTCTAAATCAGTCTCTAAATCAGCAACTGTACCAGGATTTGCTAACTTGAGCATATGCAGATACTCAGGGAATTTCAGATATGCGTCCTCATCTGAACCACGCACCCCAAGTATCGCTTTCTCCTTAGCCCTATAGCACGTCATATACGAAGCAGTCACACGTAGGTCTTCCAATAGAAGTTTCTGCAGATCACGCGGCACATGACACTTCCCGGGGTTCCCAAACTTTGCTTTGTACACGGCTGCAATGACACGAGATGTTGCTCTGCTCTTGTAACCTTGTCTGTATTCTATTGGACAGAGATGATCAAGCTTAGCCTTCCTTATCTCATAGTAACCACACCCCCTAATCTCATGAGCCGTTACCCTCCAATCACACCTCTGATCGGGACACTCCACAACAAACGAATCAACCTTCGTCCGAGTCTGCTTAAACTTAAACTGTTTTTTAATTGCATAAATCGCCAAAGCTATCTGACAATCCTCTTTGCTGCCAAAAACCTTTCCAACAGCTATTTCACCGTCATGTTCGTCCACATCCATGTCTGGGATCTCAGACACATCATATTCTGTATCATCAAACATTGGAGGAATATCAAACTCCTCGTCATCAACATCGCCTAGTAAGCGAGCAGGTCGTCTCCCCGTGTTCAAACCAGTCTGAGCAGGACTACCACCTCCCATCCAAGGATTATAATCCTCCGGCTTCGGTGTGTTTTCATTGCCATCACCACCGCTAGACCCCCCAACCTCAACAAAAGATCTCGGCCCTGATTTTTTATTTAGCCCTTCAAATATCTCATCCTCATTGAACACCACATCAACGGCATTTGAACCTCCATACGCTCCATCTAATAACGGCTTCCAAAAGTCTTTATCGTAACCTCTTGGCCGCACTTCTAACTCCTCCAAAACAACATCTCCTCCAGTGTTTGCTCCAGAACTGAAACCACTGTCATCCACATCGTCGCTGCTTTCTCTTCTAAGTCTCTCACTCAGCAACCTCCTCTCCATGTTCTCAGCTTCACGTAGTAAATCATCATCTTCCACAAGGTTTATAACCTTAGTCTTAGAAGCAGCTGATGAAACGAAACACCCTCTAGATGACCTAGACGAAAACCTTGTTGCTTCTGGTGACACAAATCCCAAACCTGAATCACTTCTTTCTCTAGATGACCTACACGAAAATATTGCTGCTTCTGGTGACACAAATCCCAAACCTGAATCATCCACAACAACATCGTCCACAAATCTGGGTTTCACTTCAAACTTAGCAAACAGGTTCATCCCCCCTGTTACTTTGAAATGTTTGCAGAAATAGTTCACAGTCGCATCACTTGTTATCAGGACCGGTGGGGTCCTAATCCCTGTTGCAAGCTCCAGGGTTGTTGGTGGCCAGTAACTCAGAGCAACACCAAAACGGGATTCATCGACTCCAAACTCACGCAGTACACTACGCTCAAGCTCCACACAACCAATGCCCTCATATACAGGCACCATACGCCCCATACGATGCTTCTCGATGATGAAATCCCATTTTCCTCCATCTCCGCACACCCACTCCCCGATTAGAACCAAACATTGGTCCTCCATCCTTAAAGATAGTTGATTTCCTGAAAAAAATGCAACAAATTAACCTAAGATGTTAACCTTAAAGATAGTTGATTCGGCGACCAATGTTATTATACTGTTTTAAAAAACGACGAACAGAGTTTTACTCAACCGCAAATCGGAAGTTTTCTTCTTCACCACCGGTAAGCTCACCTCCTGCGTCTTCAAACGATGTAAGCTCATGCATTTATGAGCTCACCTACTTTTCAAAAAGAAGACACCATGACCGTTGGATCGATTTTCATCTTACGGTTGTTATCTGTTTCTTTTAAGGAAACAAGTGACACATCACTTTTTCCTTCTCGTTGGAATTAGAGGGACAGAAAATTATATTATTAAAAATAACTCACCTCTCAACATCTTAACCACACCAAAAGGGTATATGTGTATAAACACATGGCAAGGAATAGGAGGAAGTGCCCCTTAAGTGCTTTGTGTCTTATTGTGTTGAAAAAGAGAACAAAGTGTCTCCTTATGTAATCGACTCAAAGATTTATAAGTTAGATTGAAAGATTTTCAAGGGTGTTAAAAGATTTATAAGTTAGATTGAAAGGTAGGATATAGATTTTCAAGGGTGTTAATTTAGGGTGTTAAAAGATATAAATTATCCAACAAAACAGAAGGAGAAGGAAGAAGAGACCCAACAACCAGGAAAGGATTCATATTTCTTGGCATAGGTGATTGTTGGACCACAATTTGTACCAAATCTATCCCAATATAATTATGTGTTATTTATTTTAGAGACTACATCAAATGGGTTTGGTTTAACCTCCTAATATCTAAGTTTCATGAGATCACAATAATGGATCAAGCAAGATTTATGGAGTACGTGTAACAAACCACCAACCATCCACAAATCATATAAAAGGACAAGGAGATGAATTTGGGAAGCATCTTCTCTTTCTCCGATCTAACACTCTACAAAAAACAAAGCACTAAACTTGAGACAAACAAGGGACATGCTTCCATTCTTCCCCTTCTCATAAGAGAGAAGCTCGTACTCTTAAGCTCGAAACCACGAATAACTCCACCGACATTCCGTCAATCTAATACATTCATGTATTCCGAGGTGCTGAGAACAATTCTTCTTTCGATACAGCCATCAACATCGACTCAGAGATATGTCATCTCTACAATCATTACATTAAGTTATGGATACTTCTATGTTTGATCCGGAGCAAGGACTGTTCACACGAAACCTGATCTTACGAGATCTTGATCCCTCGTTGAGGGTTAGTAGGCAGCTCGACCCTGAGTTCAGTCACGATTTA